AATCAACATCAATTTTGATTTTTTATAAGTAATAGCATGTGACAATTAGCATCACGTGGTTGCGTCACCCATCATTAGTTCGGGAATCCACATAGATTTGAATAGAATATTTATACAACTCTAACCTTAAAAATTCTGAATCAACTTAAATTTTGTCCCACCTACGACATATAATAATTGTCCAAAACCAATTAAATTTAGGTTTGGTTTTGGACAAGGTTTTGAGCAGGTTTTGGACATGGTGACCAAAAACTAAAACTGTCCCACCCACAAAAATTGTTCCCTCCTGTGATTTTTGAATCAAATTTCAAGATCAGGTGTAACGTAAACAATCGAAGCGACCCATTTTTTATACAGAAATAACTCAAAATTTTAATTAAGAAACCACCTTCTGTGGCCTAATTAAAAATGCTCCTCGTGAAATATTTACTATAGAAATTCTATTGTCCTAACCCTAACCAAAACTACAACGCTATTTTATTCTCAGTAAAAATTACGGGGCAATTTTTGTGGGTGCGCACCTAAGATTACTGCAATATCTAATTTTTGTTATTACAGTATAAAATTAGAAAGAATAAAAGTAATTTTTGTAATTTTAATATTAATTATAAAAACTGTTATATACACAACTAACCCTAATTTATACCAAAATTTTGAATATAAATTCTTTAATATAATTGGCTAATAATACGGGTGTTAAATTATAGGATGTTATATATAAAAATCAATAAAAAAATATAATAATAATAATAATAAATAAAATAAATTTAAAGCTTTATACTCGGGCCTGAGAGCTAATAATAATATATTTTACATGCCGCGTATAATCGGTACCAGCGCTTCCGCTGATCTCATTTAAACCCCACCTTTATTTGTAGTAGCCTCTTCAATATATTTCTCTTTGTTATTAACTTTAGAACGCTTTGCTCCGTAAAAGACGTACACTATCAATCCGATTGCCATCCAAACAAACAATCTCACAATTGTTGCGACTGATGATGTTGCTATTAATAAAATATTTAATGCAGCACCTATCAACGGAAGCAGAAATGGACCACCAGGTACTTTAAATCTTCTGGGAGCATCTGGAGCCGTATATCTTAAAATTGTTACGCCTATATTTACTAGGAAGAAAGCCAATAATGTACCGACAGACATTAATTCAGAGAGTACATCAATCGGGAGAAATGCGGCACCCATAGAAGCAATTACGCCACCAATTATAGTTATTACGTATGGGGTACCAAACCGAGGATGAACCTTCGAAGCAAATTTAGGAAATAATCCATCACTAAATAATCAAGAAATATATTAATGCAAGTTTAAATGATTAAAATAAATTTGAAATTAAAAAATATGAAATACAGATAATTACTTTGCCATTGCAAAAAAAATGCGAGGTTGCCCCATTAATAATACGAGAATAACGGATGTTAGACCAATTACAGCACCAATATCTACTATTATTCCTAACCATCTCAACCCTACTGCATTAACAGCTACCGATATGGGCGCAGGATTGTCAAGTTTTACATATGAGACTACGCCTGTTAATACGACACTTTAAAACAAATAAGTTAATAAAACTTTCAAAACTCTGAACTCTTGCCATTATTAGGATCTATGTTACAACTGCATAAACTAGTTAATCTGATTTTTAACAATATATTCTTACTAGGTAACTCAACTAAAAAAAGTGCATATTGCTTTTAACCTTTTGCATGAGCAGTAATTTAGGCCCAAAAAACGGCAAGGTTATGAATAATAAAACTCATTAAATATTAACATATGAGGAAACTTACCATACGGTAACGTAAATAACAGAGACAATGGAGAAACTGCCCAAAGTTGAAATTGGTAGATCTCTTTGTGGATTTCTGGACTCTTGTGCAATAGTTGAAATCGAATCAAATCCAATATATGCAAAGAACACAACAGTAGATCCAGCCAATACTCCAGTGGCCTAAATATAATTAAATTTCATTAGTCAAAAAAAAAAAAATCTAGAAACAATTTTAAACAATTTAATCTTAAGCATACTCCAAAACTCGAAAATGATCCTTGATTTGGTGGAATAAATGGTTGGAAATTTTCAGTGTTGATGTGAGCTCCAGCGACAAAAATAAACAAAAATATAACTACAAGTTTCACGGAGACAGCAAATGCAGCAAATCTTGCTGACTCTTTAATTCCCAAGACGAGTAAAATAGTCAAAAAAATTACGATACAAAAAGCAGGAACATTGAAATAAGATCCAGGAGTCATTTCAAAAGCGTTGGTTGTACTATTGAATTTAAATGGTGCGTCCGTCCACGATGACGAAAATTCAATGCTAAAAGCATGATAAAAGAAAAATTTAAAATAGCCGGACCACCCTTTGAAATATTGTAGAAATAAAGCTTTAATATATATATAATGCTAATACTGACTAATAAATAAGCAAAGGCAAATTACATACCAACAGATACTGCGGCAGCACCCACTAAATATTCCAATGTTAAATCCCAACCAATAATCCAGGCAACAAGTTCACCCAATGTTGCGTAAACATAAGTGTATGATGAGCCTGAAATTGGGATCATTGAGGCCAGTTCTGCATAAGATAATGCAGCAAAACTAGCTGTAAGCCCAGCCAATAAAATAGATATGATGACAGCTGGACCCGATTTAGTCGCGGCAGCTTGACCTAATTATGCAAATTTAAATTTTTTATATAAGCGAGATGGAAAAATAACCTTATAAAGCCGTGCCTATATATCATTTTATCGGTTGAGATTAAATCATTCTCAATATGTGCACGTGCACTTTACCGATAACATAGGAGGGGCGACCGTAAGTTTATCTCAAGCATACCTGCTAAGACAAATATGCCATTTCCAATTATACCGCCTATACCAATCATAATTAAGTCAAAGACGTTTAAAGACTTTTTTAGCTCAGAAGCTTTTTGATCTTCATCTATGCTTTCCATTGATTTTATTGTAAACAATTTTCGCATACGGTATTTCCACACACTTTCATCTGGCTGCCTTGGTGCACCTGAGGTTATGAATTCGTAACTTGACATAGTACTTTTCAAGTCCGTCATTGTTATTATTATTTAACAATTTTAGTTTTATATAGGCAAAAATTTTTACTAAATATAATTTGCACTCAAGAACGGCAATATGTGTTTTATTGTTATTATAGAATGGCCAGACTTATAGTTAAGAACAAAACATGAAATTTTTATATACAGTTAATTAGAAGCTAAACATTTCGCGTTATGCTATATATATATGGATTTGAATTATATAAAGGAATTAATATATATTTATATAAGCAGCATAAAGGGAATTAGAATAACTTTTCGTGCTATATATAGCTTCATTGAATAACTGCATGTCAATGAATGTTAATATGTATTGTTTTGTTTTTCACACGATCTCACGTAATTTTTAAGATCTACCATTATCGTGTTAGAAAGGGTCATATCGTATACCTTATATATTCTCGCCGTTTATATTTATAGTAGATTCCACCGTATGAAAGCCATACCATTTCGATATACTAATCTGCAGTAATCCCTTGCGTGAACTCTTATTCACATTTATGTGCATACATACATATAATCTCATACTATATTTGATCTATTTTATATAAACTATGATCGTGATTAGCTAGGCTCACCATGCTAATCATCTGACTCTGATAAACCATGATTATCTAGAGTTTAGTTCTAATTAAGGTTGCTTTCTAGATTTATTTTATGATTGTATCCAAACCAATCAGCAATTAGTAGCTCGTGGAACTCGCGCTCGCACTTAAAAGATGAGAGTTATGAGAGGCATCTTAGAATATCATTTTTTGATTTTTAGGATTGTCAAGGAATATCTTTTGATAGGTTAAATTTTTACAAGATCGACAACGACGTGTGACCACTATTTAGAAAAGTTTCCACCCTTTGAGAAAAATTTTACGTCAAAAGTGCATCCGAGTTTTAATATTCCACAGGAAGTGTAGTACGTTTATTATGCTGATAACGAAGAATGAGTTTACATTCTCAATCTTCCATAAACTGCAGATACAAGACCTGGTCTGTTACACTTCAATTTTAAAACCTATAATTAGACCCGCGAGTCTTTTGTATGGGTGTGGATAATTGGTTTATTCTATTTTCATACTATTTTATTAGGTTTTCCCTATTTGTACATATATTTCTACATATAGATATATTACTTTTGAATGGCCTTTTTTGGTGCATAAAAAATTTATTCCGACTAAAGTACAATGCGTGCAGAATTTATACGTATACAAGATCTACCAATTTATCATAGATATGCCTACTCTAGGAAAAAGGAAAAAAAAATCCGTGTTTGTAGTTTACTGGAGTAAATCCAATCCTTCACTTTTTTTAATTTAATTAATAAATCACAAAAATTGCAACATGTTAATAGTCAGAATCAACAAACTTTTATTTTAGATTTTCAAATAATAACCACCCTGGCCCACACTATTCAATTTTGGGGTTGAATTATAGTGCAAAAAAGTATGCATATTCTCAGAGTAATACAGTATTCATAATTTATAGCAAAAATGAGTTCAACTAAACTTTATTGACTTTGCACAAACAATGTTGACTTTTTCACTCATAAATAATTAAATTTGTCTATCATAATCATTATTTCTAATATATTAGCTCCAGAATCATTAAAATACAATAATTGGATCCCAGAAGGCAAAGGCGTCCGCATTATCATGTTCTAATCATCGTGATACCATGCAATACACACATGTTATGCATAGCAATAAACCAATCAAAGAAAATTTGGCGCGTGCTTTAAAGAGATACAAACAATCGTCACTTTATATAGATGGCTAATGGTTTGACAACTGGTGCACGTAGCAAAAAAGTCACATCTAAGTGATCTGAATAGTTTACTATTAATATTTTTTTAACGTTGTATTGATTCGACCGATTTGCTCCCTATCAAAACCGGTACCGATTTTGAAAGGTTATCATATTTGAGAAAATCATATGATTAGTTATTATTAATGGACTTAAATTATTTAAATGGATTTATTTGAACCCGGATTGGATCCATCTGAACCCAAAATTCAGGATTGGGTTCATAATAAACCAAAGCTAGGTTTATTTAAATCCTGGTTGGCTAAATTAACCCGGGATAGGGTTCAAATAAACCCGAAGCGGGCTCATTTAAATCCGAATGAGCTCATTTGAACCCGAAGTGAGGTCAAATGAACCCGAATGAGCTCATTTGAACCCGAAGTTGGTTCAAATGAACCCGAATGAGATCATTTGAACCCGGAATAGGTGCATGTTTATTTAAAAAAGTCGGGATATTAGGACTATCGAAATTATTGGAAATTAATTATGGAACAAGCTTGGTGGATCGATTTTTTACCGAATATGACAGGTTATCGGTTCTAACAGGGTCGGTTTTTTGACAGGGTGGACTGTAGCATGCTTTAAAGAATCATCCAGGGCGGCCGCAGTGACGTAGATCGTGGCGCAGCCACGATATAGTTGATAATTTTTCTCTAACTTTGAACGAAGGTATCTCTACTATGGATTCATAGAATTTGAATAAAAAAATTTCAATCGATTTTGGTCAAGTGACTATCGAGATATCTCGATTAAAATTTTTAAAATTTTTACTTTTGCTGACTCGAAAAAAATCGGGATCACCGGTTGTCCCATGATTTCCCGTGCTTCTGGTGATTTCGTGAGGTGCCAGGCTTTAAACGACCCCAAAAAAAAGGTAACATGTAACAAACAAAAAATTAGCTTTATATGATTCCTAGAGGAAAATTGTATCTTTAATTTTTTTCTTACATTATTATACATTACATATAAAATTTTATGATCCTATAGCACAGGGATGGTTCAAATGATCTCAAATGACCCCAATTTTTATTATGAAGTTTGGCCCGAAATGATCTAGGTCATTTGAAAAAAGGCAATGACCTCCAATTTAACCATCCCTGTTATAGCATTCGTCATGAGTTTCATCATTCGTCACAAGTTTCATCATTCGACACCCATCTTTAATCGTGACTAATTTATAGGTCTTCGAAACTAATAAATTTCTGTTTTGATCTCATAACGGTCAGTTTAGGCTCAAATTACGGTCTTAACTGATAAAATCAGTATAATTTCTTTTCTATATAATAATGAGTAGCAATGAAAATTTTATTGCTTTCATTTTCAATATTTTTCAAAACGTTAAGGCATACAGAAATATTAATATAAGTGATCCTTTAATTAATAAAGGTTTTAATGTTCTGTATGTTACTTAGATTGGTCAATTTTAGGTTTGTCGATTTCGTTCACTTATTTCTGATTAGGTTTAGAAATTATCGTTATAGTATATTATATATGGGGGCCCCCACAGCAAAAGGTGGTGATGGGCCAAAAAATTTTTTTCTGTAGTTTTTTAATATTGTGTTCCAAATAATTCAATTTTTGCAAAAAATAAAGTTTTTACAAAAAAAGTTTTTTTTGGCCCATCACCACCTTTTGCTGTGGGGGCCTCCCATATATATATATAATATATAGTATGGTATAAATAGTTTTTTAAAATAGGTATTTTACACCTTATCATACTATTTTGGTCATCCATATAATTATACTGATCTTCTGTAATCCCAATTTTGTTTATCCCACATCTTTAAGGTTTAGATATTAAGCTTTTTGTCTTAACAAAGAAATTTTCTTGCAAGTCGATTTACTTGCCTGTTGATTTAAATGATACTCAAAAGGTGATAACAAAATTTTGTGAAAGCTTAGTTTTTTAGATACGTGTACAAAATTTTTACAAAAGCTCTCTTTGTATTTCAATAGGCTTACATGCACGTTTAAAAAATAATGATGCAAGTTACATTTTCTAATTTAGTATCTAGAAAAATTTTAAATTATAATTTAAGTATGGTATAATATGTATGTTAATAGCATTTATCTTTATATTATTAATTTGTTATTTCCGAAAGATGGACTATCACAAATGGGTAATTATTTTTGAACCCGGGCTAATTTTATATATAATATAATAACAATTTGGTCTGGTTTCAAAAATAATAACCTAACAGCTAAATGAGAGGAGCAAGTCATACTTCGGGCTTTCAATTTTATAATATATTTTTATCGGATTTGGCTTTTAAAAACCTGTTAGTACAATAGTAACGTCTAACACATATAATATATATCACTAATCAGATTTTCACTTGATGATAAGCTTGAAAATCCGAAGTTTCGGATTTTTATACATTTTGGGTTTATACTTAATCTATATTATATGTTACTTTTTTTTTTATTCGTTTATTTTCATTTCCAATTAGCTACCCAATCTTATACTATTATACTTTACATATTATATCGTTCATTCTTAATGCAAAAATTCGAATATGGTATGATCATGCGATTTACGAATAGATTGGAATGCATCGGGGTTAGACCGGTATTAAGTAATAATTGTCGCGGTTGAAGCAGAAATTGGCTGAAGCAGAAATTTTGGGACTCGATTTGAAAACATAAGCTCTGCTAAAATCCACCTATACGCTTTAAATATTAAATTTAACCCTAAACCCTAACTTATCGAATTTGGATGATCTGAATTTTGGTTGCACGACCAATTTACTGTCACAGTTTAAAATTTTAACCCATGATCTAGATGTGACTTGGTGGTGAAATGATCCGAACAACAAGAATATTGTGGGGCTTCTAGGTCGCTGTGAAGGCTCAGAGATACAGATCAATTCCAGTGGTTTGTAATTTCGTATGATGCATAGGAAAACTGGTTATTATGAGCAAATTGTGAGCAATATTTTGAGGTGGCTTTTCTAATACGGGTTGCTCACAACCCGCACGTAATCGCTGGAAAACAATGTTGGGATTAAAAGATAGCGCAGAGTTCATAGTAAAAATGTATTTAAAGCCTGAATTTCGCATTAATAAAGTTCACTCCGACTTCGATGTCTTTAATAATGGTTTATAATAAGAATTGATTTCTCAACGAGTTATACGTAATATTGTTTATTATTGCTATTGTTTATATTTCTTTATTATTTTTGTGTTGTATTTATTATCTC